CTTCTGCCTGCTATCTTAAATTACTTTATTTAGTTTTTAGTATAACTTTTAATAAATACTATTGTTATACCTGTAAAATCGACTGTATTTTATTTTCATTTTAATCTTTGTATTCTATTTTAAATGTACCTTCTTTAACTTTTACTCCATTTTGTCTAATTATCATCTTGTCAGTCGTCTGTGAAGCACTTTGAACTACACTTAACTGTATGAAAGGTGCCATGCAAATAAAGTTAGATTGATTGATAGCATTAGTACATCTTTGGACAGAGCTGAACCTCTGACCCTGGCAGTGTTGGTACTTCGCTCTTTGAGCAACACTGGACTGTTTAGGAGGTTGATCGAATCCAGTCACCAGTAAATCTCTCAATCCACATATTTTCATCCAATTAAACTGGGCCACAGTGGAGAGACTGTCAGGTGATGTCAGAAATAATAATAATAATAATAATAATAATAATAATAATAATAATAACAACTCTGACACAAGAGTTTGTCCGTTGACAGCTTAAATCCAAAGACATAATGATGATCAGCCTTCATGAGCACACATCCCCCTCGCTGTCTCGGTGAAGCACTCTAACCCTTTGTTCAGAGGCAGCCCAGATTCAGTAAGCGTGTTCAGACAGCAATAACAAGGCAATTTGGAAGCTCTGTGAAGCGGCGTCACTATATGTTCTTCTTGTTATTTCGGTATGTATGTGTATGTCTGCCGTGTCCAGGAATGGATGAGTGTGTCTGCTGTATCTGGGTTAAACCCCTCTAACAAGACACTGTCTGTCCGACTCAGGTCGGTCTGAGGACGCGCTGGAAGACTTTCAAACACGTGTTTATGAAAAGAGAATCTGAAAAAGAGGGATGCTGGATTCACAGGGTTTTTGGGGTACATGTGAGTATCACCCTCGTAATTTATAAAAGTAAAAACATAAAGTCAGTAACACGTCCCACATGCCCAAATGCAACATGCAACTTTTAAGTGTGTTCTGTCGTGGATAGTATCTATCATCATATATACTGTCAATGGCTCAGAGGCATCCATCATATTCCACGAAAGACAATTTCTCTAATTTCACTGTGAAAAAAAAAAACATCCAGGTTACACAGAAACTTGCTAATTAGGGTCAAAGTATGCGAGGCTGGTTAATGGAGAAAAAGTTCATTAAAAAGAAACTTGCTGGGGTGATTAAAAAACCACAGATTGATGATATAATAGTGTGTGAGGGAGGATTTCTTTCCCTGTCACTGTTCTTCATATTCAAACCTGCTCAAACACAAGGCTAAATACAGTGAAGCAAGTCATCCTTGGTTCTGTAAAGATCCCACAGTTGTTCCTGCTCAAATGTAGCAGAGAATTGGTGTCATATAGGCTGTAACCTTTTTTTTATTTCCTCAAAAAGGTCCCAGCTTGTTTTTTTGGGGTTTTTTTTGTGAGTCAGTAAATTCAGCTGCTGCGGCTAAATCAATATTTATGAATCCAAGGCCTCTTCGGTCAGCTGGCCTCCTGGACCGGCGCACACACACACACACACACACACACACACACATTAAGAATCACAGACAAATTCCCATTTAAAAAGTCACCGAGGCTATAATTCACAATGTTCCCCCGCTAAATGATAAATCAGGACTTGAACAGGCCCATAACAGTCCAGAGGGATGATGAAGGGCGTTGGACCTTCTCCTCATAAACATGACGCACTGATTGAAGCGGCTACAAGAGGAGACGAACACCACCGCCATCCTTATTAGTTGGACTATGTCCTCGGATCAGATCTTCGTTTGAGCGATAAGGCGGCGACGGGAAGTGACGCCGCGGGGATGATTTAGAGGCTGATGATTAACGATAATGAAATGAAAGCGATAATTGTCCTGGAGATTTCATCCGCTATCAATGAGGAGCCTTAACCGCAATTTTCCGTCTGAATCTTGATCTTTCCTTTCTCTTGTCAGAGGTAATGAAGCAATTAATCAACTCATCTGGAACGTCAGAATCTGTTTCAGTTCAGTTCAGTTTCTGTTTGTCCAACTGAGATGTTTCTGTTCGTTTTGCAGATAATGTTCAATATAGAAAGCTACAGGTTCTTACATACATATATACTGTATATAGTGGTGGAACGTACATTTACTCACAAACACATGAAGAGCTTATAGAATATGTTTGTTATAAATTAAACTACCCAGCAGTTTATGAGTAGAGTTGAAACTATTGGTCATTTAATCAATTACTGTTAATAGCGTAAAGAGAACTGCAGTTAGCATCCTGTAGCTCGGGCTCTGTATATTACGTACACCTGACTGAAATTACAATCATATTTAGAATAACCAACCTGAAATGTTCCTATATTTTATTTGCACCATTGGTTCCATGACACTTACTAGCTCGCTGTAAGTACCCAAACTACAGCCAACTAGCTTAGCTTATTGTTAGCTTTGTACTGCTACTTAATTTGTTTTTGGCTAAAATCAACACCATTTGTCAGAATACATAAGTTAGTATCATAGGTAGTTAGTTAACTAACTAGTTATACTAACATATCCACTCAGTATTGTGCTAGCAATAACACTAGCGAGCAAACAAGCTAAGTTTAGCCAGCCATCTGCAAATGAGTCATATTGAGTAACCGGCACCGGCCAGCTAGCAGACAGTGTTTTGCTACATTAGCTAGCTAGCTCCATGTTAGCAAGCAAGCTTCTCTAGTATTTATCCAGCTAAAAGCACAATCAGACAATATGTTCCTCGAGTTTTGCTGTAATGTTAGCTTTGACTTTGGACTCTGTGTTGGACTCTGTGTTGGACTCTGTGTTGGACTCTGTGTTGTGGACTCTGTGTTGTGGACTCTGTGTTGGACTCTGTGTTGGACTCTGTGTTGGACTCTGTGTTGGACTCTGTGTTGTGGACTCTGTGTTGTGGACTCTGTGTTGGACTCTGTGTTGTGGACTCTGTGTTGTGGACTCTGTGTGTGGACTCTGTGTTGGACTCTGTGTTGTGGACTCTGTGTTGGACTCTGTGTTGTGGACTCTGTGTTGGACTCTGTGTTGGACTCTGTGTTGTGGACTCTGTGTTGGACTCTGTGTTGGACTCTGTGTTGTGGACTCTGTGTTGGACTCTGTGTTGTGGACTCTGTGTTGTGGACTCTGTGTTGGACTCTGTGTTGTGGACTCTGTTGTGGACTCTGTGTTGGACTCTGTGTTGTGGACTCTGTGTTGTGGACTCTGTGTTGGACTCTGTGTTGTGGACTCTGTGTTGGACTCTGTGTGGTGGACTCTGTGTTGGACTCTGTGTTGTGGACTCTGTGTTGGACTCTGTGTTGGACTCTGTGTTGGACTCTGTGTTGTGGACTCTGTGTTGTGGACTCTGTTGTGGACTCTGTGTTGGACTCTGTGTTGGACTCTGTTGGACTCTGTGTTGGACTCTGTGTTGGACTCTGTGTTGTGGACTCTGTGTTGTGGACTCTGTGTTGGACTCTGTGTTGGACTCTGTGTTGTGGACTCTGTGTTGTGGACTCTGTGTTGGACTCTGTGTTGTGGACTCTGTGTTGTGGACTCTGTGTGGTGGACTCTGTGTTGGACTCTGTGTTGGACTCTGTGTTGTGGACTCTGTGTTGGACTCTGTGTTGGACTCTGTGTTGTGGACTCTGTGTTGTGGACTCTGTGTTGGACTCTGTGTACATAGAGACACATAGAGATCAGTCCACAGGCAGCAGAGGAACAAAGCTATGCTACACTCTAAATAAAATAAAAAAGTGATTAGAACATTAAAAAAATACATATGGAATCTTTAAATACAGTACTTAGTGCCGGTCCGCGAAACAACAGAAAACACAACATTCCCACCAAGTCTGGTGTTAGCTTTTAGCTCAAAGCTGAAGTTCTTCCTCAAATCAAAAATACATATCATTTCTTTTACCTGTAGACGTATTTATCCTTCTAGCTTGTCTTGGTGTACGTTTCTGTGTTTTGGAGAGTCTGCCTTCTCTAATATTTATGTGTATAATACCATATTTTCCGGACTATAAGTCGCACCGGACTATAAGTTGCATTTATTTAGAAATGTTTTTCACAAAATCCATGACCAAGAACCGACAGAGACTATGTAACTGGACACATTGATTGAAAAAAAAGATTGAGAATTCTACCAGGAATGTTAATGAAGACGAAGGAGTGAAATGAGGTGAGCTGGGCGATATGAAGGCGGCCAATTTACAAAAGATTCACTGAACAAACATGCTGATGTGGTACATGAAAATTTTGCTAAAAATGTGGAGAATGCAATGCAATCAAGCATTTTGTGCGATGTCTAGGCAAACGCCGGCAGCAGAGCAAATACTCGGGAGGCTACCTTATTTAGAAATGTATTTTACAGCAGCCAAGACCAAGAACAGACATTCAATCAGGAAATGGAAGTTAAACACAATAGCACACAGAAATTAACATAACACGCCACCGAGTCCAACGGGCAAGGGTTTTTAGACCAAAGTCCTGCTCATGAATTTGAGATTTCTTCTGTTTTTCTACAATACATTTGTGACTTTGATATATATGTTGATCTGATATATGTGTGTATTGATATTTTGAAGGGACTTAATAGCTTAATTGTACTATTATTGTTCTCGGAGGATCAGAAACCTGGTCGGGGGACCAAGCTTCTGACCTGATGAAGGGCCATGGAGGATCGAAACGTTGTCATTAATAACATATTTTGTGTGGCAGTGAGTAAGTGTGCAGGCTTTTTCATTGATGCCTTGCCTTCTACTTTAAAGGAAACATTACTCAGGGCTTTTCCAGTGAGTCTATTATCTGTCAGCTCAGTATTGATATTGTGAAACTCAACAGTCAGTGAGGAAATTTTAGTATTTTGGTGCTAATGGCACTAAAAGGCAATCAGGCATCTTTAAACAAAATCTCTCGGCTGTTTTAACATCATTAGATTTCACTGCCCAGAGGAATTTATTACAAAAGCCGGATTAAAACCAGAGTTTGTTTTCCTCTCTTCTCTTTAGGACTCTGGGCTATAAGAACCGGTACGTTCGAGTTCCCGACGGTCACTTCTGGATCGAGGGGGATCATCACGGACACAGTCTGGACAGCAACAGCTTCGGACCGGTAAGACCTGAACCCTTGTTACACAACGTCAGCATCAACCAGTCACACTGTGCATCCATAAAGTTTTAGTCACATTTAGGATTACAGATACTGACAAAACTCACTCAAATAAAATACAAATATACAGGAAGTGGGTTTTTCCACTTTGGTAAAATAGAGGACAAAACTAACTTTTTGCAGCCTAATATTTTAGTTAAAAAACATTAGTTATAGTAAGTTAAGTTTTTATATATATATAAGTTTGGTTATATAAGCGTCTAATAAGTTGTATTGCACAATATCTTTCATCAAATTGATCTGAAAGTGACAACAATATCGTTGTCCGCTGTTGTCATTATAGTTGTGGTGTGTCATCTACTAGTGTTGGATATAAAGATATAAAAGATATATTTATAGTTATTAGGGATGCTCGATATTGGCTTTTCTGCCAATATGCGATATTCCGATATTGTCCAACTCTCAATTTCCGATACCGATATCACCCGATACCGATATATGCAGGCTTTTTACACCAAAACTGTTAGGTAACAACATATCTCCTATTGTGGAATTAACACATTATGCCTCATTTTATTGTGATGTCCCACTGGATGCATACATAAATGCAACATGGCTTTCCAAATGTAAACACTGTCTGTGCAAAATAAGAGAACAACTTCAACTTAAGGGTATGGAAAAAGTGCCAATATGGCATTGCCATATTTATTATTTTTTAGAGATTAGTTTTTAGAGAGAAACATTCTGCCTCAAACAACACTTCAAACAATATCAAGACAAGGAAGATGCATATCTTCAGTCCAGAGTAGAAAACAAACACAGTCCTCTTTTAGTCCAAGTACAATGAATGAGTAACTGGCCATAACTTAGAACACTTTGAAATAGTGTTGTAGTTGTGCATTTGTTGTTGTTATACATCATCAAGCGCGCGCCAGTAAATGTCCCATGCTGCGTTCAAGCAGGCTCGGAAATGCTGAAGCCTACAGAACAAACATCGGTTATAAAAACCTGATACCGATAATTCCCGATATTACATTTTTTAGTGAATATCGGCCGATATAATCAGTGGGCCGATATTATCGGACATCCCTAATAGTTATTGTTATTGGTGTTGACCACCCTTTACTTATGACTTGGAAAACAATGACTTGGTCCCACTTCTGCTAGACACTGTAACTAAACTGTGTATATGAAAAGAAACACACACATCCCTGTGTCCAACACTGTTACCATAGTGACTGAACTAATGCAAAGCAGTGGTCCCAAAAACATCTTATCATATTAAAGAAAAACACAATCTCACTCATATTTAACACCAAGACATCGATTAATGAAAAAAGAAGGAACAGGTGAGAGCTGCTCATCCTTTAGTCGAACCTCGCTCTCTTTTGGGAATCTGTTCTTACTTTTTCTGTGATTGCTTCGTACGGTAAACATATGGGATAAAAACCACCTGAACCATATCGTTGAGGTTGCTGGGAAGGTGATACTTGTCCCACAGAACCCCCTGATGGCTATCCACAAGATCACGTCCATACTAGACTGTAAACCTCCCTCTGCATCTTGTGTTTGAACCCAAATCGTGAACAGTTTGTGTAAATTGAGTGATTTAGATGATATTTGAGCAGATTATTTCCTGTTCAGGGAACTTTTTATTCAATTCTCTGTCTATAATATGTAATTTCTGTCATTTTAACAATCATACAGACTTACTAGGCTTTTTTTTGTTGACAAATTCAGTGTTTTCTTGTCTCTGGTGCTTGGCCATCGTTTGATTAGACTATTTCACTTTACTTTACATGTACTTTTCTTCACATAAGTGATCCAAATGCCGACCCCCCCAGGTTGGGAACCACTGATGTAGAGTACCATGGTTCAATAGTGCAATAGGAGTAAAAACTCCTCTGTTCCTTGTGCAACAACTCTGCTAATTGTACTTTCAGCACTGTTGTTGCGTTTTGGTACTCTTTGTCTGTACTTGTGTTGTTTGTTGTTATGTTTGTGCCCCTGACTGCAAGTTTCCTATCTGGGATAATGACTGAACTGAAAACTGAACTGAAGACAGGAAGATGCCTACTCTCATCTATGGGAAGGTGAAATAAGAGTCATAATAACACTGGTAAACCCTAAAATCTGCTCCACTCCACTCAGATGGTAAACCATGTTTATTTGGAGGAGATGGGCTGAAAAAGAACACAGAGCTTTGAGAGAAATCCATGGATAAATAAATCCAATGTGTGTATTGTGTGTCATAGGTGAAGGTTTTACCTGTCCAGTCTGATGTTGAGCCGGGTTTACCTACATCCCCCTCTGGCTGGAGCAAAGACCTCAGTATCTGAAGGAAATTGAAGTGACAGATTTAGCATTTTTTCATCTGACTGCGTTTCAGTTGAGTGGTCCATCCTGACAGATGCTGAAGTTTCTCCTCCAAACATAAACATTACATTAATGCTGCGTCCTCCTGGTTCAGGAAGAGCATTAACATCCTCATGTTGACTCCTCCTCTCTGTGTGCCGTTTGTGGTTTTCTCCTCTCTCGGGTTGAGCGATATAACATTTTCAGCAGAGGAGGAAGGTGCTGTTTGCTATGGACGGCACATTACAGGCCAGACAGAAGGCCCGGATCTCCAGCTGAAAGGAGCTCAGAAGAAATCCCCTCAGATCTAAAACCCAGAACACATGGACCAACAGCTCCACAGAGCTTCTCCAGCTTTACAGTTTATTCCCCAGACATTTCTGTGTGTACGGCAGCTGCAGCTTAGTGCACGTCCATCCGGGTAATTTCTTTTCAGCAGGAAGTGGCTTTTTTGGCTTCATGCGCCACTGTGCAGCTTTCTTAGGAATGAATGGAGCGCCGCCACCAACGCTGTATTCTCTTTATACATCCATTCATCATGCAGGTTGTGGACCCTCTCGTGACTTGGTTATTTTACTCCTATAAACATGTCTCCTTTAACACTGAAAAGACAAAAATGTCGTCTGGAACCGGACTATTTTTCTGTCTCTTTCATTCACCTAGTGTACGTTTTATTGGACAGCACTTTGAAGTGAGGTTAAAGAGCGGCTGTCAGCTTCCATCCCTTCTAACAGACATTACCCATCATGCACTTCACAAAACCACATTATTTCTTTATTCTCGCTGAAGCAGCGGCAGCATCTCGCCGAGCCTCGCCACCATTCTGTCTCTTTTTTTATTGGAGTAAAAACGTCACGTCACACAGTTTAATGTCACCACCTAATATTCATACCAGGAGGAACATGAGTAACACCACCAAACCAAATGGGTATTTTCAGAATATATCTCATCCAGCGAGGAGGTCTCATTTCAATAATATATTCTTTTTAAATCTGGCCTGCAGTGCTCGCTGCCACCCACCACATAGTCTTTTCTCTCAGAAACACATCAGCTCCCACAAATGATGCACTCAGCCGAATGGGTCGATCAGAAATAGTCCCAAACAAACAAAAAAACACCCACAATCTCTGCATACAGTATATAGTGTAAACTCTATATGCAGTCTTGCTTTTTTACTTTTCTCAAAGTTTTTTTTTGTTGTTGACAAATCTAAAACTTTAAAAACTGTGAAATGGAGGAAAACTCTGAATGCAGTACACAGACACGTCAAGATTTCATGTCAGTCGATCTCACACTGTAGGAGGTATGGCCTATTAAAGCTGTTAAAGGTGCAATAAATAAGAATTTTACTGATCCCAAAGCACGAAATGCCCACAATACATCTGTTGGGGGGGGCATGTTAATCAATACCAGTGAGTCAGCTGGAGCTCAGCCTGCTGAGACTTCTGCCTTTCAGAGCTCCTTAACCAATCCTCGTGTGGAGGTGAACACAGGATGGAAGGAACCAATGAACCAAAGAAAGCGCTGAGGAGCAAAACCAAAAGGATCACCGGTGAATAAAACATGGAACCAAGTAAATAATTAACCAAGAAAATCCAAAACAAACCAACCAAAGAGAGAGGACAAAACCGTACTGTAGAGACAAATTCAACGAACCCAAGGAGAAAATTGAGGAATTGAAAGAACAAAAAAACCCAAGGAACCTAAGGAAGAAGCCAAAGAAGGAACTATTAAAGATGAAGTCTATTCTAGGATCCCTTCCAGTGGAGAAAGCATGATGAAATGCAACTTTCTGTGCATTGGTGCCTTTTTATTTGTTTTGACCGTCAGTTTTGAGCTTGGTTCTTGAGCTGGTTTCAACCACATTTGTAGAGAATAACAGGTTAGAAGTTGTGTGAAATGTGCAATATAAGTGAAATCAGATTACTTTTTTTTAAATGTCTTGCTGCCAGCTTTAGTAGATAACAGCCCACTGACCTGCTCTCAACTGCAGCAGATGAATATTAATCGACTGCTTCATTACTTCATGTTATTAAACGGGATTTTGACCTGCAGTTGTTGTGGGGGTGGAGGCTTTTTTCTTCTGTTGCCCAGACTACAACCCTGCCTCAGCCATGAGGACACCCTAGAAGTCAAATCGTGTACCTCCCAGTCTGTCTGCAGCCGGCCCCATATCGCACACCAGCTGTCTAAAGGTTACTCTGAAGATGGAGATGAGCACAGCGTGGTGGTTTTTTTTTAATATAGACACCAGCTTTTCAGAGATAACAGGCGTCATTAACAGCATTTGACATTTGGTGGTGTGTGTGTGTGTGTGTGTGTGTGTGTGTGTGTGTGTGTTCGACCTTTATGCAAAGCTTCTCTAATTGATGCAGCGAGGACGATGTCAGACAACGATGAGCGATCAGATCTTCAGCTGTCAGCTTGCCAGTTTTAATTATCTCTGCTGTTAATGTCTGCAAGTCTCTGGACCTGAGCTTGAATGTAAATCAAACTGCTTTAAATCCTCCCAAATAAGCAGTAATCTACATATAGTGAAGCTCTTTGTCATATCTAGTCCTCAATCTTGTAGCTCCAAATAAAATCATTAAAAGCAGACTGGATAGTCACTTTAAAACTGAATACTTTACTCACTTCAGAAGTCAGAGAGCACATTACTGACCCTTCCTAAGTCCCGCCCCTTTTTGCTCTGTGCTCCAATTACAGTTGAACACGCATCGGTCAACTTCCTCCTTTCCTGTACTTAATAAGTTATGTGCTAGGCTAATCTGTGTTGAAAAAGACAGTCACATTTTAAAACACAGTGAGTCTGCTGGAGTTTTACAGTCACTAGAAGCACATTCATGGCCATTTGTGAAAGTTTCTGTGTGCTACCTGTGTTGTAAAGTTAGCTAAGCTAGCAGCTCAGAGAGGCTACCTCTCCAGTGTCTGTGGTGTCAGAGTGGAGCCTGCAGGTCCAGCTGAGGGAGGCCACTGTGCATATTTATAGCACAATATGTAGAGTTCAAATACTTGATTGAGAAGTATTGAAAATCTTCAACTATTTGTAATAGGGATGTCCGATAATATCGGCCCTCCGATTCGATATTCACAAAAAAATTTAATACCGGGAATTATCAGTATCAGGGTTTTATAACCGATGTTTGTTCTGTAGGCTTCAGCATTTCCGAGCCTGCATGAACGCAGCATGGGACGTTTACTGGCGCGTGCTAGATGACGTATAACAACAACAACTACACTAGACTGGTTGGTTGCTAACTGTGGCTAACAAGCAAACAATTTAAAGCTGAATGATTTTAACATTAACACAAAATAAAAGTGCAATGCACCTTAAATATTTGACCCTGCTACGAGCTGTTCCTTAACCAAACTAACAATTGGCTAGCGATTAGCGTTAGCCCTCTTTTCAGTATTAAAACAATGAAAGTTGAAGTTGTTCTTTTATTTTGCACAGACAGTGTTTACATTTGGAAAGCCATGTTGCATTTATGTATGCATCCAGTGGGTAGTGTCGCCATTCGTCCGGCTGCAGGCGACACTCGTTTGTCCTCCTTTTGAGAAAATAACTAAAAAGCCTTTTGAAACATTACCTCGTTAGTTTAATACTTATTGGCTAAAAGTGTGTCAAAATAAGTAATTTCATTGGTTACATTTTCTTGTCATGACCTCTCAACACATGGCTAATTTTAATATTCAAATGAGCCATGTGTTGATTCCCCACAGGATCACTGCAGTTGCTAGGTTACCATCAGGCTGTCAATCAAACTCTCAGTGACAGAGAACGTAATGTGAGTTAACGTTCCTTGTTGGACTGAAATTCTGAAAATGCTCATACTCAGATGTAGTTAGGTAAAGCCTATACATCTGAAACCGAAGGTGCTGTATTTTTTTACCCTTTATCAATCCAGATAAAAACATTAAGAACAGTTTCTGTATGATGTTTATTAGACCTATGTAATCTGAATTGGAAGGGCACGTTGTCATGAGCTGTATCTTGTATATTTATTATTAGCTATGTGGTATGTGTATGCACCTTTATGTAATCTGCTGGAAAAACATTAAAATTTAAAACCGGATTATACCAAACAAATATCTGCTTGCGTGTCCCCTTGTATGCAAAGTGTCCTCCTTTTTGATGTGAAGGAAATGGCCACCCTACCAGTGGGGCATCACAATAAAATTAGGCATAATGTGTTAATTCCACAATAGGAGATATGTTGTTACAGTTTTGGTGTAAAAAGCCTGCATATATCGGTATAGAGTGATATCGGTATCGGAAATTGAGAGTTGGACAATATCGGAATATCGGATATCGGCAGAAAAGCCAATATCGAGCATCCCTAATTTTTAACCAATCTTGAAAACGAGATTTGGACGTAAATTGATGAAGAACACTACTAGATACCCATATACAGAGGTTTAATGATTTGGTTACTCTTTAAAAATCCCAGATTATGTTTAAAGATGGTGGAAAAGATGTTGGTTACAAGGTCCTCTCCAATCGTCCATCCTTAATGTCTGCTTCTCTACATAAAGACTTCCTTAGTGGGAATGAATCGCAAACTACAGAATCCTCCATTATGGATGTACATACAGATACTGGGATGAAAATAAGCGCCACAGTGTTCTTCATCTCATCATCTGTTATTAAAGACACTTCACTGTACGTTATCTCGCTCTGACTTTTCAGTTCTGACTTTGAGTCGTGTGGGTTTTTTCTCTTCTTCCCAGGTGTCAGTGGGGCTGCTTCATGGTCGAGCCTCTCACATCATCTGGCCCCCAAATCGCTGGCAGCAAATCAAACCGTCTCTCCCCCCAAACCGAGGACCACTGGACACTGAAGAAGAGGATTGATGAAGGACAAGTAATGTCATCTAAACTGAAGTGAGCTGTCAGTTAGCTGCAGTGTTTCAAAGACAAACATTCAAACCACACGTTGTATCATTACATTTCCGGAGGCTCTCTGAGTTCGATTACTGTTAATGTAAATTGTTCGACTGTATATTGATTTGTTCATGTTGCCACAGTCCAGTTAACAGGGACTCGAACCTGTGATGTTTGCAGGTTCTTTGAGCCACAACCACATTAAGAGCTGAAGTCCGACCTAGACCTCAAAACAACTAGTTGATTATGATGATTTATTAATTATTTTTCAAGCAAAAATGCCAAATATTCTCTGTTTCCAGGGTCCTAAATGTTTTATATTGTTGTGAACTGAAAATGTTTTGGTTTTAAACTGTCGATCAAATAAAACAAGATATTTCAAGACAGAACCTTGGACTTTCTGAAAGTTGACATTTTTTCTGGCATTTTATAAACAGTTAATTTATTAATTCTGCAAATAATGGCAGAACAATCGATAATTCCAATAAGTAAAGTAAGCACATAGGACGTCCCGGAGGGGCTGCGAGCCGAGCTGCTGCTAACGTTAGTTCAGCTTGTTTCTCTGATAACTTAAGATCCAGACGTCCGATGACTAAAATCCTTCATCCGGTTCAAATCTAGAGTTAAAAAGCACCAAGATCTAAACAGTGGATGGTAACAATGTGGCTTCAGACTGGATCAACAGTCAATGTATGACAGCTTCTGGCAGACAACCACAACGCTGACGCAGGCACAAAGGGGATATGGCGCCATCGACAGGCGACCGGTGAAACGCAGCGTTACCTGAATAAAATGACCGATTTTAGCACTGCGCCATCTTTGATTTCAGCATCCTCACTGTTTAAAAGAAGCTGAATGAAAGTACTGATCTACAACTGGAGTGGGTGTGCCAGTGACCAGCCACTCCCGTGGTTGTGATAGCAGATCGCTACAACACTCACCTCCATCTTCACAAACCGGAAGCTGATTTTGACCTTTTAAAACGTTTGTAAAAATCTACATACAGACTGAAAAACTGAGCCGTATTCCCCGTTTACACTTTGCTGTGGCAAAGCCTCTCTTTTGTGTTTCCTCTCAGTACGACCTCCGTGTGTGTGACCTCTCAACTACACTTGAGGACAACAGTGTGAATTCAATTATTTTCCAGTGTGATGGGATAAAACAATGTCTGTTATTATCTGAAAATCTATTTTCACTCTGCTTTTGTTTGTGTTGCTGGTGTTGTCGCCTCTGAGCAGAGGGCTGCTGATAGTTCACACAGATCCCATGAATATTCTCTTCGTTATTAAACGCTCTGAGAGGAGAGATGAGCATTTAGCCTCCCACGTCAACCAGGTTATCTGAAGTCTTAATTAGAGAGAAACCACACAAGACAAAACAGCTGACTCCTGCCCGGCTCTCAAACGGCTGAAAAGCTCCGTCTTTTAAGAGGCGCGTCGCTGATTTGCATAAATCAAATTGAGGGAGCACTTGTGGTAAATTCAGCCAAATGGAGCTCTCAGATGTAGCTGTTGATTGTGCAATGCTAACAGCTGTGTCACAGCGTAATGGGGCCCTGGAAGGCACAAGTGGGGCTAAATGCAGGTGTACTCAAGCCTCCCACTGAGGCAACAGACTACAGCGAGCGCACATCTGCATAATTAATTCATTCTAATGTGATGTGCATTTCTGTACCAATTGAATCTGACATTTAAGGTTTATGGTTTATGTTTGAGGGTTATTAAATTGCAGCCTGCAGAGCAAAATGTCTGTCTTTGCATTGGGAATTAAAGCCTGAGCTGAAAACACTAGTCAGCTCCGCCTGACGAATCTCCACTCTGGGTACTCTGGGTAATAAAGCTTGTATTTGCACATCTTTTGGTACTTTACATCCTGCATTTACTTTATTTACAGAGAGCTGAAAAGACTCATCAGTCTGTCTCTCTTTGTGTGTGTGTGTGTGTGTGTGTGTCTCTAAGCTTCTGTTCTGTTGCCGTGCCAACAAACGCTGCCGGCTGCAGCTGCTAGGATACCGGCGTCGCCGTGGTGAGATATGGCCTTGTTTAGAGGTGCAGGATCACCACGCCAACAGGAAGGAAACCGCATGCCGTGCCGTGCTTCTTCCATCAGTTAACAGACACACATGTTTTGTTTGTTGTTGTTTTTTGTTTTCTTCTAATCCAGTTGGCCTTATTGGATTTTATACAACAAAAGACTCCCTGCAAACCATCCTGCACCCAACAGCTACTTTTAAATAAATATGAAAGATGTAAGGTTGACTAAATATACTAAAGGAATTATGGTACAAAAAAATTACTAATTAATTACTCATACACACATCCACTGGGGGGCACTATTTGTCGGGATGAGATTTTGAATGAAACATCTTTAAAAAACCTGGCATGAGTAGGGTTTTGTGGATTTTTCCATTTAATTAAGATAAGACGATGTTAACAAGCAAGTAAGGCAAATGTGGTTGTCTTTTCAACAGAGATTAGCCTAGCACGTAGCATATCTAAGTACAGGAAAGGAGGACGACAGAGGCTTGTTATTGGAGCACAGAGCTCAAAGGGGCGGGACTTAAGAAGAGTCAATAGTAATTTCAGCAAGAGAAATTTGAAGGTGCTTGAAATTATTTCAAATATGAACAAAAATATCTGTGGTAAATCAAACACGTTATTCAAAAGTTGCTGTAAAAACAGTCGCTTAGCAAACAGGTTAAACTCACCAGATCAGATTTTTATGCATGAACTACTAATAAGATCTACTAATTCTATCAGAGCAGTAAATCCAGAGATAATAGGAACACATAATCAACCACATGTCAATATGACATTCATCCTCAAGGACGATCCACCTCATTCTGTCTTATTGCTGATGCTGCCATTTTACTGTTACTCAATCTCCCTTAAATCACCATTAAACTGACAGCCTAGCCTGCCCCGCATTAATCCGAAGATACCTCAAAAGCAACATGAGATGCTTGAGTATCATACAGAGAATGAATCAAACCAATCATGTGGATGTGGAATTTATCCCCATATCAATGTCATGTGGTCATGCATATTGCAAGAGTTTGCTCCATTATAGCCCTGCACCAGGTTTTGCTGGATCCCTAATGAAATCTCGGAGCTGTCTATGAACACTCCACGGCTCATTTGACTGTTTGATTGCTCCTCTCTCGCGGCGATCTTGACCAGTTTGAAATGCAATTATGTTAATCGGAGCGCCATGCAGGGTCAGTCCTGTACTTTGGGCCTTTACCTTGCCTGTGAATAGCTGAGCCCTGGAGCCCTGTGGATGAAGGCATTTCATCCAGCCCTGTAATGGATATTAAACAGTGCTTGTAGGAGAGCCATGGAAATTAACCTCCGTGGGTCTGAGGTCGTACACTGAGCCCTGGAGGGGTGAAACAGCGGCAACTTGATGCTTGTTCAGACTCTAAATCAACCTGGTGATGTCAAAGCCTGAAGAACTCCTGGCTCAGGGCACAAAGTCCTAAATAATCAGTTTAAGGGCAGTGGCTCAATTCTAAAGACAAAGAAAAATACCTATATGAGATAAAGTCTACAAGAACTGAGATATTCATATCTGCTGGTGGCTGCTGCTTTAAAATAAGAAAGAAGCTCTTTGTTTAACTGCCCCTTCAGAGTTTGTACTGTTACCAGGGTAAATTCACTTCACATCACCCAAATTGCAAACACATATTTTCCTGTGAATTCCCTGCAATCATGCTGGCTTTTATTACTCCAGGTTTTGATACATCAGTCTCTGACATTTCCGCCAACTGGAATTAATTGAACTTTATTTGTGGTGCTCACAGCACTGAAAAAAATTACATTTGAAAGATTTAACAGCAGCATATTCCCCTGTTTTTCCGTCCACAGGCCTTAAGGTCTTTACACATGTATTTTTTCAGGGAAAGTTCACTGAAGGAGGAAGTATTTCTTTTGAAGGAACCTAATCACATTGTTTGTCCCACCTTTGGTTGTTTTTACCTGTGTCTCAGTAGTTTCCCACCTAAATATCCACTGTGTTACCTCAGTGCCAGTTTGTTTTTGTTCCTCGATGTCAAACGTTCCAGCCTTTTTCCTCGTCCTGTGTGTTACTGTGTGGTTTTTGGATTACTGAATGTTTTCCTGCCTTTTCCACTGGATTTGTTTGCTTGTGTGGACTGACCTTCCATGTACCGAACCTGTCCCGTGCCGTGTATTTGAGTCCAATTGCTTGTGTTTCCACTAATCATAACATGAATACCTGGAAGCTGCCCAGTACCAGTACCAGTGCTCCACTGAAGCAGCTGGAGTTAGGAGCCTTGCTCAAAGGGCTACTCCTTCACTTTCCCCACCCAGATTAATCCCGCCGACAACCTTCTGGGCACAAGCTAGCCTCTCTTACCTTTAGTCCACTAACTAATACGTTAAAAAACTAAAGTCGTAGCAACTCCCGGGTTCTTGAGGTAAAATGTTTTTGTAGACTTTGAAGAGAGCATTAATGGATATACCACCTTCTGTTCCCTTCAGTAAATCACACATATCGGACTGTGCAGACGAAGCAATTGTCATCCCAACTCACCTTTGTCACATTGCCTTTAAAATGTTTGTGTCCTTTGTCATATAATACAGGCTGATGAGAAACAAACTGATGACATTACTATAACGCTAAAAGCATCACTGACAGTAGAAAAGATCTGTGGAAGCTCAGCTCTATTCAAGAGGAGCTACAGTGTCATATCAGGCAGCTTCCCTGTGCTATTTTTATTTAATAAGAGCGTTTTTAAAATTGCTAATTCTTTGAAATTAAGTAAAAAAATAAATGTCTATTTATTGGTGGAAACTTGAGCCAAAGAGGTCTTTACTGTTCACAGTCTGTTATCGAATGAGAAGCTCTTTTCAGCGACTCATTAGTTGGAGTCGGGCACACATGCATATGTTTAAACGCCTGGATTAGATTTACTCAGCGAGGGAGCTGCTGACGACCTTCTCATGTTCTGAAGGGTTACACCAGGAGTTTTTTGTTTTTTTGAATTGCAGTGCTGTGTCATTATCTTTGTAATGATAACAATAATTGCTTAGCACTTAAGAAATGCTCTAAAACAAAAGCAACTTAACAAACCATCAGATACAATGAGGCGAAGATTTCCACTGTTTACTAATTAAAGCCAATTATTCAGGATGACTCGGCAGATTTAAGAAGACACTTAAATTACCAAAACCTCCACAACAAGATTAGACCAATTAGTTATCACAAGTTGCATGCAGAAAGTTTTGAGTTGTTTAGTTCTTAACGATTCAAGTTCTATAATTGTATTTCCTCCGGGAGGTTTAGAAGACCCTGACTGGAAATTATTTAAAAAGTAAAGTTTAATTTACTGCGTCATGAACCGTCTTTCCCTCAGCCTACCTCATCT